CTAGTTCCTCTCTTCTGTCTCTAGGCTAAGGGAGTATCCCTCTATAGGGAATGTGCTCCTGAAGTCCTTTCATGTACCAGGGATACATCCTGGTTCCACTGTCAGAGGTCTCATAGACTGCCCAGGCCTCCTAACTGAGACCCACGTTTAGGAGGTCTGGGTTGATCCTATGCTGGTTTCCCAACTATCAGTCTGGGGTCCATGAGCTCCCCTTTGTTCAGGTCAGCTGTCTCTGTGGGTTTCTGCAGCCTGGTCTTGACCCCTTTACTTATCACTCCTCTCTCTCTTCAACTGGATTCTAGAAGTTCAGCTCAGTGTTTAGCTGTGGGTGTCTGCTTCTGTTTCTATCAGCTACTACATGAAGGTTCTAGGATGCCATATAAGGTAGTTATCGATCTCATTATCAGGGAAGAGCATTTAAGGTAGCCTCTCCACTATTGCTCATATTGTTAGTTGGGGTCAACTGAAGAATGGGTAAAGAAGATGTGGTACATTTACACAACAGAATACTACTCAGCAGGGAAAAAAAACCAACCAACTAACCAACCAACCAACCAACCAACCAAACAAACAAACAAACAAAAAAACCAATGGAATCTTGAAATTCACAAGCAAATGGATGGAACTTGAAGAAACCATCCTGAGTGAGGTAACCAAGTCAAAGAAGATGAACATGGTATGTACTCATACATGGATTTTAGGCATAAAGCAAAGGATCACCAGCCTATAATTCACACTGCCAGAGAAGCCAGGAAACAAGGAGGACCCTAAGAGAGACCAGATGGAAATTAACTATCAGGAAGGAGCAGGAGGAATGACTAGAAGAGATGGGAGAAAGGGAAGAGACTAGAATGGAGCAAGGGGGACAAATGGACAAAAGAAACATGTACAGAAGGACAGATGGGTTAGAGGTGAAACAAAACCACTGGATGGACATTCAGTATCATTAGGACATTAGGACACAGCTATTCCCACAGCAAGTGCCCCCACTGTTACCCTGCCCACCAGAAGGTGATACACCAGCCAGTGGAAACAGGAAAGGGAGGAGTATAAATCACTTAGCCAGTACTTACGGAGATTTTGTCCTACATCAAACCCCTATAATATCATGTCAGGGTTAGCATCAGCTCTCTGAAAGGAAAGAGCAGTAGGAAGGCCACATTATGTGGCCTGTCCCCCATGACTGTTTCAGCCAACTCTAATCTCCATGCTCGCCTGGAAGCAGTGGCTCCAGTGATAGAAATGCATCATGGGAAGAGTGGGTTCTTGTCCTAGAGTGTCATTATATGACCTTAGCTCAGGGTCTTGGTTTCTTTGTTAAATGTGGCCAAGAATTTTCTGATCTGATTATTTCACAGGGGCTTTGGGAAGATGAAAAACGTGGACGGATATATACCCACACACTTCCCTACGGGTGAAGTGCCTGAAGAACGTAAAATTGACCTTATTCTTTTTCATTTAACAAAGTGGTGGGTAGGTGGGGAGGGGTGTGTGTGTGTATGATGGAATTGTGTGCAAAAGGCTTGGTGACTCAAGGAAGAGCCCCTTTTCTCCTCAGTTTATATCTGGTCGGTGATTATTACTGCTTTCCTGGTGTTTTTAGTCATACCCTTCCCTTTCAGAAATGCCAAAGGTGCAAACACTGTTCCACTGCTAGAATCTGTCACCGTGGCTGCCTGAGCAAGATGCACAGAGACATTGAGCTTTTCAATAGGCATCATAAAGTTTTATTTAGGCAAAGGCTATATTTATCAGCTAACAAGTTTTAAATCACCCCACCACTCAAGCCATTTCTCACTTGAATATGTGCCTTTCAAAACACAGCAGCTTTCTTTGGCTGGCTTGACTAATAAAAGCCCTTACTTGGACAGGCACTGGTGATGTGTGGTCTTGTGAAGTGGAAATACACCCAGCACTGTTGGAATCACTGCTGGCTCTCACAGTCTCGGGCGGGGTGGGAGTATCTGTGGACATCCTTGTCTTATAGTCTTTTATAACATCCTTCTAATAGCTACTAGGGCATGGATTTCCTCAGCTATTTCTTTTCTAAAGGGCAAGAGGCAAGTGGAAATGGAAAGGTGCTAGGGTCTTTGGAAGGACTGAAACAGCAAAGTGACAGTGATCTAGGTATTGAGGGGGGTGGAGTCTGCTCACATTGTCAACATGTAACAAAATGTGCAGAAGGGGTGGAACAATGTGCTTGGAATGAGTAGCTTTGAAACATTTTAGTAAGGGCCTGGGAGAAGGATTCTGTAACTAACCCATTTCCCGATTTATAAGTTTTTCTTCCCTTGTAGGACATAAGTACGCCATTGTTATTAAAGGTTCAAAACGCTTTCTTCCCAATGGCTTCAGACATATATCTGTTTAAAACAAAATAATGAAGGCAGTTTAACGACTTTTTAGATACTCGAAGGGAAAAAAAAACAATGAAAAATATTCATCAAATATGGATGAGTGTCATGCAATAAATCACTTCATTATTTTATGTTAGAAACTACATTTTATTTTCCCTTCCTATGTTTTCAAAGGAAGTGACACCAGTTACACGCAGGCATTTTAGTTTTTTGCGTTTTGCCCATTTATTGCTAAAAGGCAAGCTATCCTCACATGCCAGAGGACCAGGTCCTTATTTGTAGATAAACCAGAAATCCCTGCCAGTGTCTATGTAGGTGTGCATGTGGCAAGAACAAGCAGGTGAATTAAACATTGCTGAGGGCAAACTCTTTGGATACATTTTTCCTAGTTTAGGAGTCTGAAACTATTATTTATTTCTTTCAAAATGAAGTTACAGGGGGCTGGAGATGTAGCTCAGTGGGCAGAGTCTATGGCTAGCATACACAAAGCATTGGGCTCTGTCCTCAGCACCCCATGAACAGGGCATTGTGACTGTGGTGGTTTGAAAGGCTCATTTTTCTGGGTGTTTGGTTCCTACTTGATTGAACTATTTGAAAGGATTAGTTTGTGTCTCAGTGTGTAAGCTCTCAGCTACTACCCTAGTGCTATGTCTGCTGGCTGCCAGCATCCCTACCATGATGGTCGTGGACCCAACCTCTGAAACTGTAAGCCCCAATAAACTCTTTCTTCGAGTTGTCTCGGTCATGATGTTTCATTACAGCAACTGAAAATTAACCCAAATCATAATCTGCACCTGTTGTCCCAGCATTCAGGAGGCAGAGGTAGAGGGATCATAAATTTAATGCCATCTTTAAATCTGTTTTTCAATTATTTAAAAATTAAAGTCAAGCAGTGGCAGTGCACAGCTTTAATCCCAGTACTTGAGAGGCATAGGCAGGCAGATCTCTCTGTGAGTTCAAGGCCAGCCTGGTCTACAGAGTGAGTTCCAAGACAGCCAAGGCTACATAAAAAAATCCTGTCTCAAAAAAAAAAAAAAAAACAAAAAACAAGAAATATGAAAATATAATTACATCATTTCCCTTCCCCTTTCCTCCCTTCAGCCCTTTCCATTTCCACTCCTCACTCTCAAATTCATGGCCTCTTTTCCTTTAATTATTATTGTTACATATATGTATAAATATTGAAATAAAATATTCTGAGTCTGTTCAGTATTGCTTTATGTATGTGATTTCAGAGTTGACCACTTGGAACTTGATAACCAGTTATGAGTCTTCTCCCTGGGAAAGGCTCATTTTCTCTTTCTCAGCGTTCCTTAGCTACCTGTAGTTCTTTGTTCAGGGGTGGGGCCCCATGAGATTTCCCCTTTCTACCTTAACCTGTCCATTGCTGTCCTTACAGGTCTTGTACAGGTAGTCGCACTGCTGAGGTATCCTGAGTGCAGCTTCCCTGTCATTTCTAGAAGACACAATTTCATAGCAGATTGATTTCCTGGTTCTCTGGCTCTTCCATTTTTTCCCATTCTTCTGAAACGTTCTCTGAGATTTAGGTATAGTAGTAGGTACGTATCCCCTGGGGCCAGACATTTCATGATCAGTTATTCTTTGCTTTTTGATCAGTTGAGGTTTCTGTAATGCTCTCCATCAGCCACAAAGAGGGACTTATTTGATGAGTGGTAAAGTTATGATAATTAGTCTGACAATGCTACTACCCGAGCCATAGATGAACAAAACCCCATCACAAGGCATGAGAAACCCCTTTTCAGTTGTTGGCCAGGAGAATCCAAGAGACATTCTCAAGTAATATATGCTATTGCCGTTGGCCTTTGCTGCCTCCCAAAGATCAGTTGTAAGACCTTATTACTGAGGGTACTTTGGACATGGTACACAGAAGGATAAGGCTATATCTGACCTGAAAGCCTCCTCCCTGAGACAAGTTTTGATAGTACTGGAAGGTGCTATGCAAGCTGGCTAACAAGGGAAGGAAGGAACCAATAGTCCTATTTAGCTGTGATACCTATGACCACAACAATGACCAGCATGGCAAGATATCCTTAAAGCAATAGTAGTATTCATATCTTGGTGGTAAGCAATAGCTATCTAATAGGACTCAAAGTCTTCTCAACAAGATGAAAATTATGCCTAATACTAGAAACCTAGCTAACTACTCCAGGCACATAAGGTTATAGACTTTAGAGGGGAACCTACTATACCACCACTTAACAAACCAGCAGAACTCCTAACTGTACTTTAAACCTTTACACTTACAATTTTTTTAAGACAAACTAATGGACAGCACCAACCATGGGGGAATCTAGTGCCAAAGACCGATAAAATTCCTCTCAGTTCTGCTTTACTTACATATGAAGACTGGAATTTGCTTTAAGGCTAACAAGTATTGTGTAACTTGGGAAATAAGGATGATTCATGTCACTTTCTGCCAACCTCTACTGTGTCCCTTTGTGGGTCAAGCTGCACTCCAAACTGTAGTCTGGTGACATATGTGACCTACTACTCAGAGCCTTAATAACTTCGAAAGTAACTAAGAAACAAAAGTTAATCCACATCTTAAAGAAATCTTGCATTTCAACAATTTATAAAAATTTCAATACAAGAATATGTGTGAAATTACAAAATGAGACTTTGTGATGATTGTTCTTTATTCAGAACTGAAGTTTTCAAAAGGATAATAAATTTTTGGGCCCTTGAATGGGAACTTTGATTTAGTATAATTCTGGAGATGGGTTATTTGTCTCTCATGAGCACCATTTTAGTCCAGGAAGAACTGGTCATGGAAAATCAGAGAAGCAGAGAAAAGGGCAAAGTCTAAGAAATTATCATTTTACTATGGGTGGTAGCTATCAAAATTATAATATTGTTTTTAATATTTCATATGAAAAGGACAGTTAACTGGAGACATTTTCCAAGTAATTTCTCTCCACAAAATGGAAAACATAGTAATTAATAACAGAGGTCTGTGAAAACAAAAATCCCCAAGTCAATGTAGAAAACAAGGGCATAGACCCTAAATATGATTCTTTAAAGCTTCCAGGATGCTCAAGGCCGAGGCAATGCAGCCGTCGAAGTTAGAGTGAGTGAATCCATCCCCTCCACACACTAGGGAAGGGTTGAGGTGAAGAGTCATCTGGCCGGGACAGTTGGCAGCTGAGTTTATAACCTGAAAAAAGCAAAAAATGAAGAAAAAAAGGTTGGAGTTGACATTCATTGTGCCGATGCCTGGTCATGGCAATGCCTACTAGGGTTTTGCTACCTGGAGAAATTAAACTTTTTTACACATGGAAAAATAGAGACTATCCCAAAGGTTGCCTCTTGCCAAAATGTTTGCATATACATTATCATGTTTAAAATTTCAATTACAAAATAAGTAGTAATGCATTGAATTCCTAGATTTGTAGATACTATGGTCTGAATGCTCACCCGCCCTCTCTAAATTCAAATGTCGTTACCCTGTGCTGAATAATTTTATGCCAACTTGACACAAGCTAAAGTCATCTGAGAGGAGGGGACCTCAAGGCAAGCCTTTAGGGCATTTTCTTAATTAGGGATGGCGGGGAAGACACAGTCAGTTGTGTGTGGTGCCATCCCTAGGCTGGTGGCCCTGGGTTCTATAAGAAAACAGGCAGAGAAAGCCCTGAGGAGCCAGCCAGTAAGCAGCCCCTCCATGGTCTCTGTATCAGCTCCTCCCTTTAGGTTCCTGCCCTGACTTCATTTGATGATGAATAGTGGTATGGAAGTATAAATCAAATACTTCCCCCTTAACTTGCCTTTTGGTAATGGTGTTTCACCACAGCAATACTAACTCTAACTAAGACAGCTCCTGACCCCAGTTGGTGATGGCATTAGGGGAAAGGACCATTGGGAGGTGAAAGGCACTGTTTAAGATAAATGCCCTTATAAAGTTGCAGAGGGAGTTGTTGAAAGCTTCTATCATGGGGACACACTGTTAAAATTTACCAGCTATGAAGACGCAAGTCCTCAGCCTACAGTGAACATGCCAATGCTTGGCCTTGGCCTTCCCAGCCTCCAGGAAGGACTGTGAGAAACATACTTCATTTGCACACTCAGTCTAGGATACTCTGTTAAGCAGGGTGAGGAGACCGACATCTAACCCCTTCTTCCTCATGTATTTTCTGAGTATTGTTCTCCAAGGTCTTGTCTCAGCATTTGAGCAGCTGAATTTTAAAATACCACATTCCTGTCCTAGCCCAAAGAGTGACTTCCTTCTGCTATTTGCTGAGCACCTCCTATGTGTTGGAAGGCCTTTTAGATTTGTAGGCTGCATTTCATGGGTATATCCACCCGTACAAGTAATTAAGTGGTATCAATCCATGTAGGAGACTGTGTTGAGTTGGATGGATGCATGGGCTTGCTAGTCAAGGTCATTCCAAGGAGAGGCAGCAGCATATGTAAGTATCTATTTTGTATGTGTTTAGGAAGCTATGGAGCATCAAGTTACTCTGTCTCTGTGTATGCCTGTACATACATGGGTGTTGGGGTTGGGGGTAGTGTAGTGGCATCTATCCTTGCCAGTGTATTTGTGTTAATGGCCAAACCCCTTTGGGCATGGCTTCAGGTGTGGTTGGAACTTGGAGGAAGGAAGCATGAGGCAGGACTCACTCTCTGGATTCTTTCTCTTAGGTCACAGATCGGATTTGAAGGGCAGAGAAAGGCTTTGGCGGTTCTTTATTATCATCTGTGTAAGTTGTTCCCCAATGAACACCCATTTATCATTTAGCTAGGGTCTAGTAAACTCATTATCACACACCTTCAGGATAGTGTAGAGGAAGAGATATGGCAGAAAGGGCAGTTAGAAGGTGTACAGATGTTCAAACATTAAAAATATAGTAACTAATAAGTACAAATAGCCAGTGTACTACTTAAAGGGAGGAGAATGAGATGAAGATGGAGACTTATTCTACTCTTTTATAACAAGGTCTATCCATAGTCTTTGAAATGATAGAGGCAGAGGTTATTCACAGAGTCAAGTGGATGATGCCATTAAGCACCCAGAGACAAGAGAATAAGGGGGAATGAAATTTAGTTATGTTGAACACTGAGCCGATTGGCTACTGCAGCATACAAACTCCATAAAATACTAATACAGACAAGCTTAAGACAGTGGGAACTTAGCCAGCCTTCACGCCAGGGCTTTATCACACTAAATATCTCATGGTAGGTCTCTATCCAGTGGTTTCATGGAGGGTAAGTACCACAGTAAGGGCTAAGAGGATTTCGCTTCCTCTAACATCAGGGAAAGAATGAAGACATATAACACATTATTAGGACTATGGCATGGAGATTTTAGGTACTAGAGTGAGGCAGCACATATGCTTAGAATTTATTTTGCATGTGTGTTTCTGTGTGTGCGTGTGGTATATGAATATGCATACTTGAGTGTGTGGATGTGGTGGACAGAAGCTGACAGAGGCTATCTCTCTCTGTCCCTCTGAACTTTTCTTTTTTGAGACAGTCTCTGAACTTGAAGTCACAAATTTGGCTAGGCTGAGTGGCCCAGGAGCTCTGAGATTCTCTGTCTCCACCTACGCAACACAAGCATTACAGGACTGACTGCTCCTGTCTTCTTCTATAGGTGCTGGCTTTCTCAATATGCCATCTCCCCTAGGCAATCCTTAGAATCTTTTAAAACAGCAATCCTCAACTTAACAAATGCTGCAGCCCTTTACTGCAGTTCCTCATGTTGTGGTGACCCAACCATAAAATTATTTTGTTGCCACTCTATAACTAATTTTGCTACTGTTACAAATCGTAATTACCTGATATGCAGATTTGATATTTGACCCCTGTGAAATGGTTGCTAGACCTCCAAAAGGATCATAAGCCACAGGCTGAGAACCAGTGTTTTAAAAGCAGAAAAGCTTTGCAGAGACATCCTTGTTTATATGTTATGTTTTGTCTCCCCTGCTCCTCGTTACTGAAAAATTGAGCCCACAGGCTTCATTCAGCATGCTAGCCAAACAAGAAAGCTGTTTGTAGCCCTTCTATTTTACTTTAATAAGAGGTAAAGATCTCAAGACACCTGTGTTATTCATATACAAACACAAGGCTGACAGCCTCATATTCACAGTTTTCTAGAGGCTACTTTATAGAAACATCTACCCAGAGATGATAATCTTGAAACCTTTGGGCAGTACACTAGCAAATATTAGGGGCAGAGAAACACAGACTTGGGTGTTCAATTTCTGCTTAGGTGGGATTTTAACAGGTTGGATTATTTGATTTGTGGACGAAATGTCAAAGAAGGAAGGGAACTTCTAAGGTCTTCGATATTCAGGTGGCAACATTCATGATTTCAAAATGAATGTTTAAAGTCTGAAAGCATGGGCATTTTCATTTGCATGGAAACAGGACAGACGGCAAGGAGAAGAATGGCAGGACCTGAGCCTAGCCTGGGAGGCTGGGGGCTTTCTGTTACTATGGCTCTCCATTAATCAGGAAGACTTGAGTGCTTTCATTTTATTCTTCAGGTGGATTTAAACCACTTAGAGAAAAATCTTGGCCTTTTCTGCTTTGAATTTATGCATATAATGCATCTAAGTTTATAGGAGTATTACATTAGCCACCCGGGGCAGGCAGGAGTTCTTTCTGCACAGCCATGCCACACATGTAAACCAGAGAAACCTGCATTTGCACAGGGCCGTTTCAGCCCTACATGCACGTTAAATACATCTATTGAGATGTGGTTCCTGGCTGTGGCTGGAAGCATAGCCAGGGCTGTATTACTGGGAGAGATTGTGGTTTTGACAATGACAGGATCCTCTCTCGCAAGACTCTGCCTCACATGGATGAAAACATTTGCCAAAACACACTCCATGCTTTCATATTTTCCTCACTGGGTAATTCCACCTTCAATGCAATGGGATTGATTTCATCCAAACTGCTGGCTGGCTAATCAGTGGCCTACTTTTTCAGCCATGGGATCTGGCATCTGGCATTTACTACTGAGTAAATTAAATTATATGGCACTGACGAATTACCAGCTCACAAGTGAGCAGAACATTTTCCCTAGAGCTCCCTTCTGCTTATTATTTGTAAGTTTAAGAGTGCTCAGGCTCATTAGGGAGATGGCAACTGGAAGGCACTAAAACCACCACAAGTGGGAATTTCATGGGTGTGTCCTTACATACTCTCTGTGTGGATGTGGACCAATGAGTTATCCCCCACGTGTGAATTTCCTAGATGCATAAAGTTAAGTAACCATTTAAAATGCTTTGTCTTTACAATTATACAGAATGTATTGGGTTTTGTCAACTTGACACAAACCTAGACATTCCTGGGAAGAAGGAATCTTAATTGAGAAAATTCCCCATAAGACTGGTAGGGAAGTTGGTGACATATTTTCTTGCTAGCTGATTGATGTGGGAGGGCCCAGCACATTTGCTTGGTGCCATCCCAGGCAGGTGGTTCTGGGATATAAGGAAACAGGCTGAGCAAGCTAAGAAGCAGTGATCCTCATGCCTTCTGCTTCAGCTCCTTCCCTGCTGGAGCTCCTGCCCCCCCCACACCACAGCTACTGACTGTTACCTGGAGGAGTAAGATGTAATAAATCCTTTCCTCTCCAAGTTGCTTTAAATCATGGTGCTGTACCACCTCTATAGAAACTCTAAGACATAGAGTTACATACGCATGCACACATGCACATACATATTATTTTAATCATAACTATAAATACATATTTTTGTGAAAGAAAATGTTAATGAAGAAATATACTAAGTAATTCTTCCTGAGGCTCATTCCTATGGCAACACAGAGCTGCTGACCCCTGACAGCCATGCTTTTCCCCATACCATCCATCCTCTTTCAGTACCGTTTAGAACATAGATGACATGGTTTTCTTATGAGTGAATCATTCAGTTCTCTTGGAGTTTCCCCTTGAGCCACTGTTATTCCCCTCTGCAGGTTCAGACCATACATTATAGAAAGGGTTTAACTGGAGGTTCTTTCCAGTGGAACAAATGTTTCCAGACAGGGGCTAGGCTGCTTAAACAATTAAATAATTTGTGGTTCAGGGGTTGCCTGCTTTAATGAGAAAATAACCAAACTCACATGTATGAAACCCATATCTTGAATGTCTCCTGGCTCCTTGTTGGTATCTTATAAATGGGTGAAATAAGACAAGTATTAAATAGGTTAACCGAG